CAGGCACGTCTGTCTCACTCAGCAGCCGGTAGTACTGTTGTGAGAAGGAGCAGGCAGAGCAGTGCTGTGGCTTACAAGAGCCCTGGACATCAGAGAGACCTTGGCTCTCCTCTTCCTTACATGCCAGCCCCAAGGCAGCCGGACACCAGGAGCACTGGGGTGAAGCCGCACGAGGACTGAGACAGCCTGCAAGCTGAGAGATCCCCGGGGTTTGCAGCTTTCTCGCTTCGCTCAGGGTTAGTGCTCCAGGGCTGGGAACTGTCATCCTCTTGCAAGAGCAAAGAAGTTTAGGGAGAAGAAATAATCTGTACCAGCCGCAGCAAGAGCATGAAGGGCACAGACGGTGAGCCTGTGACCCACAGACTTCACCGCAGGGTGACGGGTAAAAGCCGTGCTGCTCAGCGAGGGAGAACATGGGCATCGGTTTCTTTTTGGCACTTGGGCAAAGGAAGACACTGATGCACATCCCTTTCTTCCCCTACAGCTTCGGCTACAGAAGGGCAGGACTCTCATGCCCACTAGCACTCTGCAAGTCCCATTATGATTTAAAGCAAGACAGGTTTCAGGTAATGCCTGCCGAGGCAGCAAGGCAGAGCAGTGTCTGAGCAGACCGCTGGGGATGCTCCGCAGCCTGGCTCAGCCCCACACCCCCAGTCCTGCAGCCAGCGAGCCCAGCAACCCCCCTCCCTCCCTGCACAGCATCCTGGCAGGTCCCGCACAGCTGTGGCACATGGCCTGGCAGCGTGTCCTCCCTCCATGAGCCTTGCTGAGGTCCGGGGATGCCTCCCCATCCAGCACAGCAGCCTCGGTGCCTGGGTTTGTGGGAAGCAGGTCAAGCTCTCCGGTATGCTCTGACACTGACCCAGTAGAGATGGAGCGTGGCCCAAGCCAGTGTGTCTGCACTTGAGTTCATTCCTCCTTGGGACGCCTGGGAACTCTTCTCCTGTATATCATCTTCTAAGTGGAAGCTTCAGCAGACTGAGAAGGAGCAGCTGCAGTAAGCAAATAATGAAACTCAATGTCCCAAATGCTTTGCTTCCCTCTACTTTTTGTTCACCAAGTGATAGCTTCCAATAATTGTTTAAATAAATGTGTCACTGATTAGCTAACTTCCGAACCTTGGAACAGTATCTTCCGATCATCTATGATTTCACAACTTCCAGATGAGAAAAAGACTCTCAGGAATGCTGAAGGCAAGAGATCAGCTTCATTTGCACAAGTCACAGAATTAGGAACAAGGATTACACAGGGAGGATCCAACCAAGACATGTTTCCTAATTCTGGCTGATGGTGTGTCTCTAAGACTTTGCTGCCACTGGACCTCAAGATCCTGCAGTACTTCTGTGAAGTACTTCATTAATTAACACAGATATACACTAAACAACTCACTGACGGCTTTTGCAGAAAGGCTTGCTCCTAGTATCTCTCATGTGTGACCTCAGAAAATACTCGCTGAGGACTGTTCTGCAGCCCAGGCTCGGTAATTCTGCCCGTAATTAGTGTCTGCCTTTTTTTAATCCCATGGGCACAGCTTGCCATAGACACCTCAGAAATCTTCAATTAGTTGTATCATTCTCCAGTTCCCCTGGTTTCTGAATTAGCTGAAAGGGTGCTGTCACTTTCCAGGGGTTTTGTGGAGGCCATGGCACTTGTTATACCAAAGTATTCCCCCTCCCGAGGAGGTTCACCTTCGCCTTATGTTTTTGTTCACTTAAAATGTTTTTAAATAATGTCATTAGATCCAGACGCCATTTAGCTGCAGCATGTGAATTTTCCCACTGCCTAAAGAATTTTTGAACTAAACTATCTCTTTGCAAATCTAATGTCCTGTTGCCCAACACACCCCGCTGGGCTCCCAAAGGCTCTGGAAAACTTACGGTGCCCTTTCAAGCCCATCACAGCAGCTCCGAAGCTGCTCAGCAATGCAATGCTCTACCCGCAAAGGGAAAAGACCTCAGCAGAGGGGTGCTGCTCACAGAGTCCCCATCTTACTGCTCAACACCTCGAATCCGTGAGTCCAGCCCTGTCCCGTGTAGTGCCCAGGCAGAAGGACAAAGCAGCTTCATAGGGCGTTGCACTGAGACAAACAGGATGTGGCAGCGAACTCCACGATGAGCCCCAAGGGGCAGGACATCACCCCGGAACTGTGTGGCCTGAAGGCCCAGGTTAACGTGCTGGCTCCTGTACAGCCCTGCAGCCACTTCCCCAAGGCCCAGCCAAGAGCACCCCAGCAGGGACCCTCTCAGCCTGCCCATGCCCAGAGCTGGCAGGGCTGGGGACAACACGGGCTCGGGGTGGCAGGCTGCCTCTGCGGGGTGTGGGGATCAGCAATGGGGCCATCCAGCTCAGCCGCACACCGGGCTGTTTCCCCAAACAACTGCCCCCACGTCTCACGACATACCTCAGGGGAGAACACAGAAGGCACAAAATTCTGGTTTGAGATTGTCAGTAATTTCCCTTGCTGCTCGCCTGGTCTGGGTAAGAATGGTTTTCAGGTTTTCCTTGAACTAAATGATCTTCGACCTTGCTTATGCCTTGCAGAAGCAGGGCTCCCAAGGTCAAAGGTTAATGGGCCTGGAAACGATCGTACATTTATCAGCAAAATCAGCTTGGAATAAAGCTGGCGTGAACGCCGCTCCGTTCCCGCTGGCTCGGGTTCCTAAGAAAACATCGTGAAATTAACACCTGGGGCAGTGAAGGCCAAGGGAGCGAGTGTTCTCGCAGGCTGC